ATATTTCTTGTGCAAGAGATTCTCATTTTCAGATTTTGAGACCAATTTTTATGTCGATTTATGTAAGTTTTAATAACGCAGCTTTAACAATTTAAGTCATATCGCTACGATATCTGCAGTGTGGCAGTTTATACTGATGTCTAGCACTGGGGCATCATGCCGCTGACGTATAGCATAATGTCCTACCCAGTCACATTACCTTGACACCAGGCCGACCAGTACTAACCATTTAATGCTGAGGAGGCAGCTGAAAATATAATTTGTATTAGTGTGACTTGGTATTACTCTGCTGGGGTTCGACCCCGCAACTTCCCGTATCCTAGGCGGAGGCTCTAACACTTAGGCAGGATCGGTCAACGAGAGAGAGAGAGAGAGAGAGAGAGAGAGAGAGAGAGAGAGAGAGAGAGAGAGAGAGAGAGAGAGAGAGAGAGAGAGAGAGAGAGAGAGAGAGAGAGAGAGAGAGAGAGAGATTATATAGCTAACTCAATATTATTTGCTCAAGGGTAGATTGACTTACTTCAATTGCTAAGTGCATCCATGTATTTCGGAATCCAGTCTGATTAAACTCCAGTTCTCCGAAATAGTGGAAGCGGTGGCCGATTTTAATCAGATTGAGTGATTTTCCCGTTTGTTTCTTTTGATGTACATAAATTTATTCGTTGCTTCAGTTATTGATTCCTTCCTATATTTGTTTCATTTTTTTCGTTGTTTCATTTGTATATATTTTTGGTTAACTTTATATTAACTTAATGATGAGTTATAAAGGTTATTTAGATGAGTGTGTATGTATGAGAGAGAGAGAGAGAGAGAGAGAGAGAGAGAGAGAGAGAGAGAGAGAGAGAGAGAGAGAGAGAGAGAGAGAGAGAGAGAGAGAGAGAGAAAGAGAGAGAGAGAACATTTATCCAATGTTACTTTCAATAAAGATAGTTTTGAGATTCTTTGTATTCCTGTGCATATATTTTTCAAAATAATGTAAAAGCAATTGTTTTTCAATGAAGAAACGTTCAATTTAATTATCATTATATGCGTTGAGAATCGATTTTTCATAATTAACATACTGGCATAACGACTTCATTGATCTAGTTAACCCAAAGAAGTCATCTTCAAATTATTGTAATTTTTTTTAAAAGTACAAGCAAAACAATGAACAAACAAACGTAAGGAAAGAGTGAGCAATGAACTATATGAAAGAATTAATAACTGAAGTAACGAATAACTTCATGTACAAGAAACAAAAATAAATAGGAGAATTACTCAATCAGATTAAAATCTGACACCGCTTCCATTATATTGGAGACTTTGAGTTTAATTAGACTGGATTCCGTAATACCTGGATGCACAAACAAATGAGAATTACACGAGGATAAAGCACTTTATGAAATGAAGTAAGTCATTCTGCTTTTGAGCATATAATATTGACTTAGCTATATTATAGCAAGCAGTATGTATGTATGTATGTATGTATGTATGTATGTATGTATGTATGTATGTATGTATGTATGTATGTATGTATGTATGTATGTATGTATGTATGTATGTATGTATGTATGTATGTATGTATGTATGTATGTATGTATGTATGTATGTATGTATGTATGTATGTATGTATGTATGTATGTATGTATACATATACATACATGAATTCACACACACACACACACACATATATATATATATATATATATATATATATATATATATATATATATATATATATATATATATATATATATATATATATACATGTATGTATACATATATATACATGAATACATACACACATATACATACATACATTAAGGATATATATATATATATATATATATATATATATATATATATATATATATATATATATATATATATATATATATATATATATATATATATATATATATATACATATATACATATATATATATATATATATATATATATATATATATATATACATATATATATATATATATATATATATATATATATATATATATATATATATATATATCCTTAAAAATTGACAGTGAAAAACAGATCTTATTTCAGCTGCAAATAAAAAATCATCCCAATAATTTCAACTATGGAGAAAGTGATGGCCTAAAGTTTTACAATATTTGCACACCCTCCCGTTTGTTAGAACCCGCCACACCGAATTTAAAAGCGAAAAGTATCATGGATATAAAAATGCATAAAACTTGGAAATTTCTTTAGTTGATTTACATTTTTTTAACCTGAATGTCGACAAGAGGTCGTTTACACTGTCGACGTACTGACATTTCAAAAAATGGGAAGCTCTCGATGTAAACAGACTGACTGTTTCCCTGAACAGTCCATTTCAATAAAACTGTATCGTGTATGTCGAATATTTACAATGCCTAGTTGTAATATTTCTAAAACAAATTGAACAAATAAAAAGAATAAATTTTTGTATGCATGTGTTCCAAGAGATGTTACTCTAAAATTTACGGAATTATTCATGCAATGCTATCAAAGACGGTGAACTTTTGGCGACCGTGTTGCTAATGAAACTCCAGTTTGATTCGAAACGGCAAACAGTTTGACAGTGTTTGAGAATCCCTTGCAAAAATAATGTTAGAATATTTAAATCAATGACTACGTTTTGAAAAAAAAATTTTTTTATATGCTTGAAAAATTATGTTTTTAAAATTGTTGGTGGGGCACAAGCAAACGGAATGCTGTGTGAATACTTTAGTATCGTGTGAGAAAATAAAATTTAATGTGATGTAAGAGTCAGGCAAAAGTAACGATTTATTTTTCAGTGTAGACAGAACTAACGGAATATTTCTCACTATTTGATGTAATGCATCAGTCTAGGCAGATGTAACAGATAATTTCTCAATATTGAAATCAGGTATCAGTCTTGAAACTATTTATAAATCAAAATTCTAACGTTCCATTAATTCATGCATTAAAACAAGTATATCAGAGTGATGCATTTTTAACATGTTAAATTCTCTCTAGATCTATACTTCGTAATTTCTCAATACAAAGAACATTCGAGAAGAAACTTGTCAAGGTTTACAAATTGAATTTTCTCAGGGAGTCTTGTATAACGAACTCTGTTCTTGGAAGAATTTTAATTTACATATACTTGTGAACAGGATTTTCTGTCTAGACGGTACGTCTTTCGGAGTCAGCAAAATTGTTTCAAAGGAACATTATCCTTTGGTTAATTTTGACTATGCCTTGGGCATAGTCTGATTGTATACCCCCCTCCTCCATGTGGAAGCAGCCCATAGTGGGACGGTTGACGCCGGAATAAATTCAAACGATGGGAGCGGACCAATCAGATATAGTCGACTTAGAGGACTCAGACAGAATGTGGACGTGTTCTAAAATTTAAACGGTAACATACATTTATGTATTGGAGAACGTCAGTGTGCTGAAAATTCTGTAAAGAAACAGACACGCGAGTCTGACTCGGACCAAGGTGTCCTAAGAAGGGAAACTTTTTAAGCGAATTCTAAACAAAGGCCTCTCTGAGATTCGTGGTGACTTATCTCGTACGAGGGAATTGAAATTGGATTTAAAATCGTCGAAATGTTAGACGATCTCTGACCGCATTTTGTACTTGATATGAGTTAATTAGATACTGTTACCTTCAGTTGCTGTAATTATGTTTAACTGTGTTATGATGTATATTAGTATGCATTAGAATGCTCGTGTTAGGAATCGGATTTGCATTTATTATAATGTAATATATTTTGATTGATGGTTGTGCGAAGTTAGACCTTGATTTAGATATACATTTCCTAATTCTTATGACGCATATGGTATGTATGATTACTTCATTAATTATGTTGTTGAATTCCGTGCAGGAATAGATCACTATTTCGTTGGTGTATGGTAATGATTGGTACCATATTCGTAGAAGTAATAGTTGTACGTAATAGTGCAAGGTATGTAAGAGTTAAGTAAGCAGAGATACGTAATTCTTTATGGAACCTTGTCAGGTAGGTCACCCATTAATCCGACGAAAGGTCGGTGAGAAAATGATGGATTCCTGAAGGATAGGTTAGGGATGCCAGAAATTGTCTTCTGTTGTATTCCTTCAGAAAGAGAAAGGAGAAGCGAAGAGTGGAAGGAAGGAAAAAGTCAAGAATAGAAAGAAGGAGGAAGTAGAAAGGGGGGAATACGGAAAGAAGGAAGTAGGAAGAAGTAGAAGGCAGGAAGATGAAGTGAAGGGAGGAAGAGATGAGACGAAAGAAAGAAGGACTGAAGGAGAATAAAGATTAAAACTGATGAGCAGCATTGACATCACATTGAATAGTGACTCCCTCACACGTCGATCGTAAAATTCCGAATGATGAATTAACTTTTTAGTGGGAATCGGTTTAACCAAGTCACTTACCATGTTTATTGTATTTTTTTGTTCAATGAACATAATTTGATATTTATGTTGAATATGTTTATTATTGCGATTTTTTGCATTATTGAGTTGTTATATGTATTTAGAATGCCAGTTTCGCTTTTGGGGGTCTCGAAAATTGTTAATACACATCTTCTGCACTATTACTGATAATACAATGGACAGACCCGTCACATCTTAATTGGTCTATTTCAACGCCAGATTAAAATATCTTGTCTAAGCAACGACACTCTTAATTTAGTTAATATAATTCTATATTGTTGGATTAATACATCCTTTAAATATGAATTGTGGAATTAATTAGCAAATAGCTCCTGAATAGCACTTCAAATCCGACTAAAGCTTTCAAACATTGTTTAACAAAACTCGCGCGCGTGTGTGTGTGTGTGTGTGTGTGTGTGTGTGTGTGTGTGTGAGAGTTTTTTGCACATATCATTAATCTTAGTTTAGTCATATCGCTATGTATGCAGTGTGACAATTTATTGTAATGTCTAGCACTGGGACATCATGCCGCAGACATTTAGCATCATGTCTCGCCCTGTCACATTATCCGGACAGTCCTAACACTAATCTCTTGAGCGCCAAGTACAATTTTTATAAAATTTCGGTATGAGTAGGCCGAGGTTTGAACCCGCGACCTCCCGCACCTGAAGCGGACGCTCTGACCACTTAGGCTAC